ATAATCCTTATCAGGGTTCTCCCCAGGATGAAATTGAAACAGCGTGAGGGGAAGGGAGGGAGAGGGGGGAGGGGAGAGAAAACTAGGGGGGTACGGGGGCCTGGTCGAATCACTGGCAGCAAGAACAAGTCCGCACCTGCAGCTACAACACACATGCATCTATTGACTATATATAACAACATTATATATAGTTATATATTACTACTATAACAACTATAGCTACTATAACAACTATAACTACTATAACAACTATATATAACGTTGTTATATATAGTCAATAGATGCGTGTGCTGTAGCTGCAGTTGCAGACTTGTTCTTGCTGCCAGTGGGTCGAATGGGAATTCTTGCCGAGTTGGCCCCTCAATTGCCAGTAGCAGCAGTGCCTCCAAAGCTGACTCACTCAGCCTGTTCCTCATGTAGCCATTCCCGTTAAAAAAAATTATTATTTTTTAATTGGGGCAGAAATAATTTAAACGTGGCGCAACGATTGAAACGGGGGGGGGGGAGTTTTCCCAAACGGGGCGGGCGCGCCCGGTTTGCGCAATGTAGGGAGAAGCCTGCTTATCCCTATAACCCGTTTCCCTATAACCCCGCACCCAACCCTATAACCCTCTAATGCTATAATCCCCTAACCTCCTAACCCTATGACCCCCTTAGGCTTAACCCTATAACCTTCTAACCTTATGACCCCTTAACCCTATAACCCCAAACCTTATAACCCCATAACCTGATAGCCCCCTAACCCCATGACTTCCTAACCCTATAGCCTCATAACTCTATGACTCCTTAACCCTATGGCTCCAATTTACCCTTTGACCCAATAACCCTATGACCCCTAAGCCTATGACCCCCATAATCATATAACCCCTAACCCTATGAGTCTATGACCTGACCTCATAACCCTATGACCCAATACCCCTTTGACCCCCTAACCCTATGACCCTCTAATCCTATACCCCTAACCATATGACCCCCTAACTCTATGACCTCATAACCTTATGGCCCCTAATCCTATAACCCCTAGCTCTTTGATCTCATACCCCTATAACCCCCTGACCCTATAATCCTCTAACACCATTGTATCAGGATGTGGATAATAGAGATTATATATTATAATTGTATTGTATTTAACAATGTTAAGGTCGACACCAGCATGAGCATGTTATTGTTGTCATGATGTATTTTGTTTCTATATAATATATACCACAACATTTCAGACTGAGACTGAGCTGAGCGTAACGGGATCGGGGTCTAGTAGTGGCAGAAGGCGCGGTGGACGCTACCGCACCGTCAACAAACAATCCACTATTGACGAATCCCTCTTTGGTGCGCCGAATAAGGTATTCTTACTGCTACGTGCATCTAGATCCATGTTTGTTCTTGTTGTATTGATGGGTCAAGAAATAGAGGATGGAGGTACACATATCATTTGCGGTCCTAAAATCTTTTCTTGTTCATTAGGTGAAAATAACGTGCCGAAATATAATTCATAGAAGGTTATTAAACTTTAAAAATCAGTAATTGGGTCATATCCACTCCCAGCCCCCTTCCCTATTCGTCCATGAACAGCATGCATTCTGAAATTCCTGGGCTGATCCCTGATCTGCAGTGTAGAAAATGACACAGTGTTACTGTTTCCATGGGCTTTAATTGACAGGTGACCGAAGTCGTGAAGCGAGTGGAGAAACACGAGAGGAATCAATCTGCACCTCCTTGGTTCTCAGGGTCGAGCAAGAAAGACAAGGTTGTACAGGTCATCACCAAAGATCTTATCCGAAATCTAATGTAAGTATACATGAACGTGTGCGTGCGTGCGTGTATGTATGTACTGAATGCGCATGAAAGATGTGTCCCTGCATGTGATGTATATAGCCAGGAGTAGATAATAGGGAGGAGTGTGACATCAATAAACAAGGGAAATTCGTCATTTACTAGCCTTATAATACCTACGATTTACTACGCGTAACTCATCCAACTTGAGCTCAAATCGGACACAGTACATTCGCCAATCATCGTGCGAAATCGTTTTCTCGTAGACACCCGCAAATCCGGAGATACAGCCTATAAACGATGACACTGATTCTCTCATTTTTGGACATTAATCCAAACGCCCATTGCGCGCCTATAATTCAGTACAAAAGGCAGCAAGACTGGCGCGCAGTCGCTGTGTTTGCGTCTCTGGATTAGCCTGAAATGTGGCGTTGTGGCTAGCGGGGATGATTGGAGATCGACGCAGACTGACACTCGACGAGCTAATCAATGAAGCCGGGTTTGGCGTGCGTCGCCGTGAAGGCATGCCAGCTAGTGTACGAAGGGGCCCTGTGTACTGTGTACCGGGTCAAAGTTAATCTCGCCCGAGTTTTGATGACCTTAAGTCTCCGCAGCGAGCGCACATGGCCTCGCTGGTTAGACAATAGCGCGTTAGTGATAGCGCTTTTGTTTGAAATTATAGCGCGACAATGGCGCTGGATTGATGGCCCATAGAATGGAGATCGTGTCCGTACGTTCTTAGCTGTATCTCCGGATTTGCGGGTGTTCTGACAAGGAAATGAATTTTCGACAGAGTGTATTGGCGAATGTACTGTGTCCGATTTGAGCTCAAGTTGGATGAGTTACGTGTAATAAATCGTAGGTATTATAAGGCTAGTAAATGACGAATTTCCCTTGTTTATTGATGTCACACTCCTCCCTATTATCTACCCCTGATATAGCTACTACATGTATACTAGTATTGTAATTTGGCCATTCCAGAGTTCCAAAAGAGGATCCGAGTGGACAGTCCATCGTTCTACCAGTTACTGAATTTGAACGAATTAAGAACAATGCAAGAGTGCTCTCACATCAAGAACGGGCGGAGTTACTGCAGCAGCTCAAGAGAGAGAAAGAAGCATCCCAAGTACATACTTCATCAACATTGTTACCACACGGGTGGCGGTGGAGTAAAATCTTTGCAATATAACAATAGTTGTAAATATAGTAATTATTTTCTGCTAAAATTGCTCGAACTTCTATTTTAATGGTTCCCACTCTCCCTTTATCAGAGACCTTAGCACCCCCCCCCTTCCTACCGTCAGGTATATTATGTTATTATTAACTCTATGGTGAGGGACCTCAGGCCTTTTGTCAGGCAATCTCTGCTGGCTTCCCTGACTGCATCTATCTCTATGTTTATAAAACATGGTGTCCGATTGTATTATCTTGAACAAGCTCTCAGTGGATTTGTGTCTAATAATTAATTAATAATATTGGAAGTGTGATAATATAGATGTCTATAATATTACACTCCTGATAATATTGCATACATATATAGTAATGCATTATACTGCATCTAATATTTTACACTATATTATAAGTCACTATCCGATTGTGAGTCATGTTATTCGTTGGACTGCTCATGAAAGCACTAGATGCATTAGATTGCAAATATTATATTGAATTAGATTGCATCTAATACATACTCAAAATATGTTGCATTTGATTGCATGTAGCATATTGCATTAGATTGCACGTAGTGTATTGCATTAGCTTGCATGTAGTATATTTTACTAGCTTACATGCAGGGTATTGCATTATACTGCACATGGTGTGTTTTATCTCATACATCTGGATATAGGATGCCTGCCAGGCTCGGAAGGACTTCATGCAGCAGCAGGAGAAGCAGAGAAGGAAGAATGAGAAGTTGAACGAACTGGATGAGGAAGCCAAGCAGAAGGCGATGTTCCTGCTGGAGAAGGCTAATGAGCAGCGGCAGGAGCAGGAGGACGAGATAAAGGAGCTGAACGAGGTCAGCGCGGGAAGGTCACTCGGGGGCTAGCAGGGCAGTTCCTCCCCCTCCCCTCTCCCCTACTCCACTCAGGCAAATATACATACTGTTACATGTAACATATATTACATGTAACGAGGTCAGGGTCGTAGATGGGGCTAGCAGGGCAGTTCCTCCCCCCATCCTACTCCATCCAGGCAAACATGCATGCTATTACATGGTCAATACCCTATGGAAAACTACCCATGGTCAACTGCCCAGAACACAAACTACATGCGGATTTCTCCTCACAGTTAAAATAAATTAGGTACACCCCTGAAGGTACGACCGTACGCAGGGCTCTCATTAGAAGCTGGTGCATGCGAATCCAGCCATGTGCATTGGTTTGTAAGCCATCGATCAAAAGTTGCCACTGAATAAAAAAATTTATACTCTAAGTCTAACAATTGATTCTGAAGATTGATTATTAGGTACTCCCTCTGTCTGCAGAAGATGGAGGCTGTTCGATACTTTTATCCAAAAGTTGCCGTGCAATCAAAAATTTCTACATCCCCCAGTTGATCCTGAAGATCAAATGTCATGCGATACGAGATGCGCAAGTGCAGGAGAAGGAGCAGATAGGGCTGGAGGTGGACGAGGAAGAGAAGAGACTTGATGTCATGATGGAGGTTGATCGCATGAACGCTCTCACAAAGCAGGAAGGGCTGGAGAAGAAACGCAAGCAGGAGAGATACCAGTTAGTATTGCAGATAAGGTCTATGTCCCCCTGATCTCTGTTTGACCTGGCTCGTTTAGCTATTTCTGACTAATATATATATATATATATATATATAATATATATAGGGTTAGGGTTAGTCAGAAATAGCTAAACGAGCCAGGTCAAACAGAGGTAAGGGGGACATAGACCCTACGAACGTCAGTATTGCATGGGCCATGGCCAATTCTCCGATCCACTTCAGTGACATTAGTATCACTACCATGCCCCCTAGGATAATATTATTGTTCAGTTTAGCATGTTTTTGACGCGTCATACCAAAATGTTGATAACGCGGCACTTAGTTGTTAAGCATTGTCTTTTAGAATATCATGCTGCAACAAATATTGGTTAGAGGCGTCTAGCTGTCTATCACACAGCGTGGATAGGTTAATTTACTATTGTTTGATTTTGAAAGTAATATTTGAAAGAGATATTCCCAATATCACTTAGCTGCTTTTTCCTATGCACGTATTCTGTATGCTCGAAACTAAATTGCATAGTGTGATGTCTTCTGGCGATATTATTCTTTACGTTAGTACTGCCTCATAGTGTAGTGATTCTCAGGACCAAGCGATTAACAATGTAGCTGGTAGGCTAAGTATATGATAACTATTAACATACTTACGTATGCATGTGATTGACGTTATAACTGTGCCACGATATATGAGAGAATTTGGAATATTTGGTACATTGCTGCTGTTGACATGTACAAGGAACCCACCTAGGGTAGAGGGCATCAGAGTATATGATTCATCAAGGAATCTTCCTGGTTATTGCGAAATACTATCGTATAGACGGAAGGGTCTTATACTTACCTGACCAACATAGCAGAGTGAAGGAAGCTCCGAACATTGCCGGTTGCTTGAAGCTGTCATCAGTCACGTATTAACTTCGTCGTATCACACAGAAAAAAAGTAGATGAAAGGGAATGGGAACCTTACAAACATAACAAAATACCATAATTAAATACCGGAGTAAAATAACCAAAGGTTGTGGTGTATGCCACAGAGTAGCCGAGGGGTAGAGTGGAGAATCTTCAATGGTCAGCGTGAGCATTAATCCATCTAGCCCTCCATCGTCGATTTGGGTCAACTGCAACAATGTGTGTTCACGTCAGGGTTACTATAATCGTGCCACTACCAATCTGTCTAAGTGCAACAAATTATTCCTTGATATAGCCGTGCGTTCCTGTTATTGATGAATTAATTATTTATTGTTGTTTGCACACTCGCTAACCTGTGCAGACGTGCAGGCATGATACTGTAATGTTACCATGTGCAGACACACAGGCATGATACTGTAATGTTACCATGTGTAGACACACAGGCATGATACTGTAATGTTACCATGTGTAGACGCACAGGCATGATACTGTAATGTTACCATGTACAGACACACAGGCATGATACTGTAATGTTACCATGTGTAGGCATGCAGGCATGATACTGTAATGTTACCATGTGCAGACACACAGGCATGATACTGTAATGTTACCATGTGTAGACGTGCAGGCATGATACTGTAATGTTACCATGTGTAGACACACAGGCATGATACTGTAATGTTACCATGTGCAGACACACAGGCATGATACTGTAATGTTACCATGTATAGATGTGCAGGCATGATACTGTAATGTTACCATGTGTAGACGTGCAGGCATGATACTGTAATGTTACCATGTGCAGACGTGCAGGCATGATACTGTAATGTTACCATGTGTAGACACAGGCATGATACTGTAATGTTACCATGTGTAGACGTGCAGGCATGATACTGTAATGTTACCATGTGCAGACGTGCAGGCATGATACTGTAATGTTACCATGTGTAGACACACAGGCATAATACTGTAATGTTACCA